CTCCCCTCTTCACCCCCACCTCCTCTTCACCCCCAACCTCCCTCTTCACCCCAACCTCCTCTTCCCACCCCCCAACCTCCTCTTCCCCCCCAACCTCCTCTTCACCCCCCCAACCTCCTCTTCACCCCCAACCTCCCTCTTCACCCCCCAACCTCCCTCTTCACCCCCCAACCTCCCTCTTCACCCCCAACCTCCCCTCTTCACCCCCAACCTCCTCTTCACCCCCAACCTCCCTCTTCACCCCCCCAACCTCCCTCTTCACCCCAACCTCCTCTTCACCCCAACCTCCCTCTTCACCCCCCAACCTCCTCTTCACCCCAACCTCCTCTTCACCCCAGCCTCCTCTTCACCCCAACCTCCCTCTTCACCCCCCAACCTCCCTCTTCTCCCCCAACCTCCTCTCCCCCAACCTCCCCTCTTCTAACCTCCTCTTCACCCCCAACCTCCCTCTTCACCCCCAACCTCCCTCTTCACCCCCCAACCTCCCTCTTCACCCCCAACCTCCTCTTCACCCCCCCAACCTCCTCTTCCCCCCAACCCTCCCTCTTCCACCCCCCAACCTCCTCTCTCCACCCCCAACCTCTCTTCACCCCTCAACCTCCCTCTTCACCCCCAACCTCCCTCTTCACCCCCAACCTCCCTCTTCACCCCAACCTCCCTCTTCACCCCCAACCTCCCTCTTCACCCCCCAACCTCCTCTTCCCCCCCTCCCTCTTCACCCTGCACAGAATCCTACAGTTAATCCTGCGGAAGATCCTAGCGGGAGAGACATAATCCTTCGCCAGGTAATGAACGTCCCTTGTCCTGCCCGGGGCTCCTACATCCCCGGTGCTAAAGTAAACAGGATCCATAGGTCCTATCCCCCAGGCCCATGGTTTCCTATGTCCTTTACTTGCAGCCCATGAATCCTATCCCCCAGGCCCATGGTTTCCTATGTCCTTTACTTGCAGCCCATGGAGTCGTATATCCCAGGCCCATGATTTACTCTGTGCTAAATAAAATTCTTTGGCGTGCAGGGGGTTAACACCTCCTCTCCCTATACACAACTCTCCTCCTCCCTACCTCGCACATCCCCCCTCCTCCCTCCCTCACACATCCTTTCTCCCTCCCTCACACATCCCTCCTCCTCCTTCCCTCACACCCCCCCTCTCCCTACCCCACCTCCCCTCCCCAGCACACTCCCTCCTCACCCCTCCCCTACCCCACACACCCCCCCTCCCCAACACCTCCCTCTCTCACCCCCCTCTCCCCTACCCCACCCCCCCTCCCCAACACACTCCCTCCTCACCCCTCTCCCTACCCACACCCCTCCTCCCCAACACACTCCCTCCTCACCCCCCCTCTCCCTACCCCACCCCCCTCCCCAACACCTCCCTCCCTCCCCCTCTCCCCTACCCACCCCCCCTCCCCCACTCCCCAACTAAACAGACAAAATCACCACAGTCACAATGGTCTGGACGCGGCGACGATCAACTGAAAACACCGCCAAAATATATCGCTGATGCGTCTCCTTTATTATGCTGCAATTAGGCGACACGAATACCTGCTGGGTGACGTATCGGGGCGGAGTATCAGGGAGCGGGCGTAGGGCGAGCATCAGAGGCGGGCATTAGTGGCGAGGCATAAGGGCTACAGAGAGAATCTTTGCCATAATCAGTTGTTAAACTTGACACTTATTACAACTCTGGACGGAAATATTTTACGTAGTTCTTTAAGTTGGTCTCTCTCTCTCTCTCTCTCTCTCTCTCTCTCTCTCTCTCTCTCTCTCTCTCTCTCTCTCATCAGGTGTCCTTCTGTCCTGTTTCCTTCATTTTCTTTTCTCAACTTTGTGTCCTAGGAGGGGGGGGGGAGGAGGACTAGATGGGAGAAATGTGGATAGGATTAGGTGAGGTGGTGAGGAGAATAGGTGGGATAGGATGGGAGTGGGTGAAAGAGAAGGAGATGAGGGAATGAATGAAGGAGGAGGAAAGATGAGGAAGAGGAAGAAAAGGCGAGATGGTGTGAAGAGGAAACAGATGAAAGAGGAGAGGAGGAAAGAGGATGGAAGAAGAAAGGTAATATATCTTCTCCAGACATACAACATCCCCAGGTATTATATCTCTCAGGTATAACATCACAAGTAATATTTATCTCCAGGTATAACATCACCAAGTAATATTATTATCTCCAGGTATACTATATCTCCAAGTATTATACCCAGGTGTCATATCCTCCAGGTATAATATAACCCCAGTAATATAACTCTCAGGTGACATATCCTCCAGGTATAATATATCGGTGAATATTGCTCTAAATATGTATAATAAATGTCATATGTCGCTAAATATATCTGAAGTACTCAGATATATTTAGCTTTTGTGCAAAATAAAAAATAGAATGAGGTTGTGTGTTTGCCAGGAGGTGGGGTGGGGATATAGTTGACAGGATGGACAATATCTTGTCTGGTAATGGGAATAAACCCATTATCTGCCTCAGTGCAGGAGGCAATGATATTGGCCGGTGTAGGAGTGAGGGCTGCTTCATAAGTTCAAGACAGCCATCAGACATATTGGGATGAAGGAGGATCCTATCATATGTGGTGTCCTGCTTAGAAGGAGAGTTGGCAATGAATGGTTGTCAAGGGCAGTTGATGTCAATGGCCATCTTGACCAGATATTACAAGTCAATATCAGTCCATCCATTGACAACTGGGACAACTTTATGGCAGAAGGGACCTTTATGCTAGGGAAGGGAATACATTTTTCTAGGGATGGGGTGGCAACCCAGGCTGGGCTCTCTCGAGGGCAGTTCAAAGATGTTGAAGTCTTTAAACTGCTAGGGAACATGTGAGCACGGGGTGGAGGAGCTTCTGATGGGCGCGGGTAAACGAAGTGAAGGTAACAGAGTCGTGCTAGGAATGATGACAAGAACTAAATTAGGGGTGTCTCTTTTGCTCAGTAGGTGGCGGAAAGTCTATCTCTCAGTACGTGGGAGAGAGATGGGGTACTAGGGTGAGTGTCTCTTTATCTCTCAGTGGGTGGAGAAAGTCTATCTCTCAGTACGTGGGAGAGAGATGGGTACTAGGATAGGGTGTCTCTTTATCTCCTCAGTGGGTGGAGGAAAGTCTATCTCTCAGTGCATGGGAAGATGGAGTACTAGGATGGGGTGTCTCTTTATCTCTCAGTGGGTGGAGGAAAGTCATCTCTCAGTACGTGGGAGAGAGATGAGGTACTAGGATAGGGTGTCTCTTTATCTCTCAGTGGGTGGCGAAGAAGTCTATCTCTCAGTACGTGGGAGAGAGATGGGGTACTAGGATAAGTGTCTCTTTTATCTCTCAGTGGGTGGCGGAAAGTCTATCTCTCAGTACGTGGGAGAGATGGGGATGCTAGGATAGGTGTCTCTTTATCTCTCAGTGGGTGGCGGAAGTCTATCTCTCAGCACGTGGGGAGAGAGATGAGGTACTAGGATAGGGTGTCTCTTTTATCTCTCTCAGTGGGTGGCGGAAGAGTCTATCTCTCAGCACGTGGGAGAGATGAGTACTAGGATAGGGTGTCTCTTTATCTCTCAGTGGGTGAAGTCTATCTCAGTACGTGGGAGAGAGTGAGGTACTAGGATAGGGTGTCTCTTTTATCTCTCAGTGGGTGGAGAAGTCTATCTCTCAGTACGTGGGAGAGAGATGGGATTACTAGGATAAGTGTCTCTTTATCTCTCAGTGGGTGGCGGAAAGTCTATCTCCAGCATGGGAGAGATGAGGTACTAGGATAGGGTGTCTCTTTTATCTCTCAGTGGGTGGCGGAAAGTCTATCTCTCGCGTGGGAGAGATGAGGTACTAGGATAGGTGTCTCTTTTATCTCTCAGTGGGTGGAGAAAGTCTATCTCAGTACGTGGGAGAGATGAGGTACTAGGATAGGGTGTCTCTTTCTCTCAGTGGGTGGAGGAAAGTCTATCTCTCAGTACGTGGGAGAGAGATGGGGAGTACTAGGATAGGTGTCTCTTTATCTCTCAGTGGGTGGCGGAAAGTCTATCTCTCAACGTGGGAGAGATGAGGTACTAGGATAGGGTGTCTCTTTATCTCTCAGTGGGTGGCGGAAAGTCTATCTCTCCAGTACGTGGGAGAGAGATGAGGTACTAGGATAGGAGTGCCTCTTTATCTCAGTGGTGTGGAAGTCTATCTCTCAGTACGTGGGAGAGATGAGGTATAGGATAGGAGTGCCTCTTTATCTAGTGGGTGGAGAAAGTCATCTCTCAGTACGTGGGAGAGAGATGAGGTACTAGGATAGGTGTCTCTTTTATCTCTCAGTGGGTGGCGGAAAGTCTATCTCTCAGTACGTGGGAGAGAGATGAGGTACTAGGATAGGGTGCCTCTTTATCTCTCAGTGGGTGGAGAAGAGTCTATCTCTCAGTACGTGGGGAGATGAGGTACTAGGATAGGGTGTCTCTTTTATCTCTCAGTGGGTGGCGGAAAGTCTATCTCTCAGTACGTGGGAGAGAGATGGGGTACTAGGATAGGGTGTCTCTTTATCTCTCAGTGGGTGGAGGAAAGTCTATCTCTCAGTACGTGGGAGAGAGATGGGGTACTAGGATAGGGTGTCTCTTTATCTCTCAGTGGGTGGAGGAAAGTCTATCTCTCAGTACGTGGGAGAGAGATGAGGTACTAGGATAGGGTGTCTCTTTATCTCTCAGTGGGTGGCGGAAGAGTCTATCTCTCAGTACGTGGGAGAGGTGAGGTACTAGGATAGGGTGCCTCTTTATCTCTCAGTGGGTGGAGAAAATCCTATCTCTCAGTACGTGGGAGAGAGAATGAGGTACTAGGATAGGGTGCCTCTTTATCTCTCAGTGGGTGGAGAAAGTCTATCTCTCAGTACGTGGGAGAGAGATGAGGTACTAGGATAGGGTGTCTCTTTATCTCTCAGTGGGTGGGGAAGAGATAATCTTATAGTAGTGTCTCGTGCATCAACATTTTTGTGTCTCAGGAGATGGTCGAGTGTTGGGGAGGAAAGACACACACACACAGTCACGAAATGGAGAGACCCAGGACCACTTCAGGGACCCAAGACCATGGGGACCCAAGACCACTTCAGGGACCAGGACCCTTCAGGGACCAGGACCACTTCAGGGACCAAGACCACTTCAGGGACCCAGGACCCTTCAGGGACCCAGGACCACTTCAGGGACCCAGGACCCTTCAGGGACCCAAGACCTTCAGGACCCAGATCCTTCAGGGACCTAGGACCACTTCAGGGACCCAAGACCACTTCAGGGACCCAGGACCACTTCAGGGACCCAGGACCACTTCAGGGACCAGGACCACTTCAGGGACCCAAGACCACTTCAGGGTCAAGATCTTCAGGGACCCAGGACCTCGGGGACCCAGGACCGCTTCAGGGACCAGGACCACTTCAGGGACCCAGGACCACTTCAGGGGCCAGGACCACTTCAGGGGACCCAGGACCACTTCAGGGACCCAGGACCACTTCAGGGACCAGGACCACTTCCGGGACAGGACCACTTCGGGACCCAGGACCACTTCGGGGACAGGACCCTTCAGGGACCCAGGACCACTTAGGGACAGGGACCCACTTCAGGGACCCAGGACCACTTCAGGGGACCCAGGACACTTCGGGACCCAGGACCACTTCGGGGACCAGGGACCACTTCTGGGGACTGGGACCTTCGGGACCCAGGACCGCTTCAGGGACCACAGGGACCACTTCAGGGACCCAGGACCCGCTTCAGGGGACCCAGGACCACTTCAGGGACCCAGGACCCACTTCAGGGACCCAGGACCACTTCAGGGACCCAGGACCACTTCAGGGGACCCAGGACACTTCAGGGACCGGGACCACTTCAGGGGACCCAGGACCACTTCAGGGACCCAGGACCACTTCAGGGGACCCAGGACACTTCAGGGACCAGGACCATGGGGACCAGGACCACTTCAGGGACAGGACATTCGGGACCGGGACCACTTCAGGGACCAGGGACCACTTCAGGGACCCAGGACCACTTCAGGGACCCAGGACCCTCAGGGACAGGACCACTTCAGGATCAGGACCACTTCGGGGACCGACTTCAGGGACCCAGGACCGCTAGGGACCCAGGACCACTTCAGGGATCAGGACCACTTCAGGGACCCAGGACCACTTCAGGGGACCCAGGACCACTTCAGGGACCCAGGACCACTTCGGGACCCAAGACCTTCGGGACCCAGGACCCTTCGGGGACCCAGGACCGCTTCGGGGACCCAGGACCACTTCAGGGACCACAGGACCATTGGGACCGGACTAGGACCCAGGACCACTTCGGGGACCACAGGACCACTTCGGACCGGGACCGGGACTGGGACCACTTCAGGGACCCAGGACTGCTTCAGGACCCGGGACTACTTCAGGGACCACGGACCACTTCAGGGGACCCAGGACCACTTCGGGACCAGGACCACTTCGGGACCCAGGACCACTTCAGGGACCACAGGACCACTTCAGGGACCCAGGACCACTTCAGGACGTCAGTGGGGAGACCCGGGCCAAGTGAGTTCCTCCACTTAACCTCAGGGACCAGACTACCCTTGTCTTTAAGTCAGGGGTGCATACAGTATTGTGTGGATGTTACCTTTTCTGAGAGATAACGTAGCCTGATCTGACCAGCAAGCTACGAAATACTTTGTCTTAGATCTCATTCATCAACACTCACAATCATGTGATGTTACCTAATACAGGGCAAACAACAACAACAACAACAACAACAACAACAACAACAACAACAACAACAACACACCAATATCTATTTATAAACTCGTACAGTAGGTGTACACGCACGCACGCACGCACGCACACACACACACACACTCTGCAGAGCAAGAACCAATTCGGTGCCTTAGCAAGAGGGGAAGAATACTACTACTACTACTACTACTACTACTACTACTGCTATAATTACTACTTATTACTGTATTTCTACCACCACCTAACAACTACCTTACTCCCCTTCTTCCTCATCTTCCTCTTTCTCCTCATCTTCCTCTTTCTCCTCCTCTTCCTCTTTCTCCTCCTCTTCCTCTTCCTCCTCATCTTCCCCTTCCTCCTCATCTTCCCCTTCCTCCTCATCTTCCCCTTCCTCCTCATCTTCCCCTTCCTCCTCATCTTCCCCTTCCTCCTCATCTTCCTCTTTCTCCTCCTCTTCCTCTTTCTCCTCCTCTTCCTCTTTCTCCTCCTCTTCCTCTTTCTCCTCCTCTTCCTCTTTCTCTTCCTCTTTCTCCTCCTCCTCCTCCTCCTCTTCCCCTTCCTCTCACACATCGAGACTTGAATAATCCTTCTTCTTTCTTCCCTTTAAGCCATTCCCTTTATCAATAATCTGTCTCTCTCACCTGTGTCCCTCCTTCATCATCCTTCCTCCTCTTCACGGTTCATCATCTTCCCTCCCATTATCCACTGATTTAATAATAAGTATCATACCTTATTCCTACACAGCACGTCAGTCATCAACACACAGCACGTCAGTCATCAACACACAGCACGTCAGTCATCAACACACAGCACGTCAGTCATCAACACACAGCACGTCAGTCATCAACACACAGCACGTCAGTCATCAACACAACGTCAGTCAACAACACACAGCACGTCGATCATCAACACAGCACGTCAGTCATCAACACACAGCACGTCAGTCATCAACACAGCACGTCAGTCATCACCACACAGCACGTCAGTCATCACCACACAACACGTCGATCATCAACACACAGCACGTCCAGTCATCAACACACACAGCACGTGATCATCAACACACAGCACGTCAGTCATCAACACAGCGTCAGTCATCAACACAGCGTCAGTCATCAACACACAGCACGTCCAGTCATCAACACACAGCACGTCAGTCATCAACACACAGCGTCAGTCATCAGCGCACAGCACGTCAGTCATCAACACAGCGTCAGTCATCAACACACAGCACGTCAGTCATCAACGCACATCACGTCAGTCATCAACACACATCACGTCCAGTCATCAACACACAACGTCAGTCATCAACACAGCACGTATTCATCAACACGCAGCTCGTCAGTCATCAACACACAGCTCGTCAGTCATCAGCACACAGCACGTCGGTCATCAACACACAGCGTGGTCATCAACACAGCACGTCGATCAGCAACACACAGCACGTCAGTCATCAACTTTACAACGTCAGTCATCAACGCACATCGTCAGTCATCAGCACAGCACGTCGGTCATCAACTTTTTGGCACGTCGGTCATCAACACACAGCACGTCAGTCATCAACACAGCACGTCAGTCATCAACACACAGCACACGTCAGTCATCAACACACAACGTCAGTCATCAACACACAACACGTCAGTCATCAACACACGGCCTAAACCACGCTTCTACTGCACCTCGAGGTACAATATACAGGTGGGTCTTAAACTGCCTGCAGGGAAACAGTAATGGTACATCGCGTTACTGTCCGAGTGGTTGTGACGTTACAGTTAAAATTATGTCTGTCGAATTTTAAACAATTTTTATGTATATATTTACTTTTCAAGATGATAATTATGTTCTATAGCTGATGTATCAAATCTTAAAGTTATTTATTATTTTTTTGGGACAGTTTGGCGTATAATCCGACATGATTAGATAACATGTTGTCTGTCAAAACTCGGTGTGTGTGTGTGTGTGTGTGTGTGTGTGTGTGTGTTGTTTGTGTGTGTGTGTGTTTGTGTGTGTGTGTGTGTGTGTGTGTGCGTGTGTGTGTGTGTGTGTGTTTGTGTGTGTGTGTGTGTGTCAGCTATGCGTGGCTCAGACCACTGTGACTTAGATCATCGGCTCGTCAAAGCTAAACTTTCTTCACTCATAGTTAACCAGTGTGTTCACTCCCAGTCAATCTTACTTTTGCACTGTCACTGTGTTGAAATTCTCTGTTGTATGACCTTCTTCCCACCTTGTTATTATATATCATATTTGTATCAGTTATGTTACCTGTATATTATTTGTCAATTAAGTGACCCATTCCCAATTTATGTAACTTACATTTTCAGCCTTTTGGTTACCGTGTTCTTTCAATAAACCGTTTATTATTATTATTATTATTATTATTATTATTATTATTATTATTATTATTATTAACCTCCAACGTTTATACATAAACTTCCTTTTCTCCCTCCCCCCTCCTCCCTCTCCCCCCCTCCCCCCCCTCCCCCCCCCTCCTCCCTCTCCCCTCCCCTCCCTCCCCCCCCTCCCCCTCCCTCCCCCCCTCCCTCCCCTCTCCCCCTCCCCCTCCCCTCCTCCAGGCTGACGGTTACACTGTCAAGGGATTCTCCCACCTGCCATGACATAACCTTGACAGCATTACCAACACCATACCCGTCATGCATAACGTCAGGATGACAACGACACGCACTTTGCACCAAGACTCTTGGTAACATTTGTCTGTCCACCTGTGCATTGCAACCTTGTCATCGCTATGCAACATTGCTTACCTGTCGAACACCTGATGGAAGTATGCCTGTGCAACCTATCCAAAATGTATTGCAACAAATATATCAACATTCTACTTTTATATACACACTACTCTATCCATTATCTATCTGCTCTCTGTATCCCTTCCATAATATATTGCACCATATATATATCAAAGGTGTATGCGTATATACAGGTATTAATATACATCAACAATTATACTGTAACTATCCCTCTTAATGACTACATCCATCACAACATCAACAGTAAAATATTTTTATTGATGTGGCAACACTTACTTTAGACATAGATAGATAGAACGATGTGGTGTGATGTGGTGTGGTGTGGCGTGATGTGGTGTGGTGTGGTGTGGTGTGGTGTGGTGTGGTGTGGTGCAGTGCAGTGCAGTGCAGTGTGGTGTGGTGTGGTGTGGTGTGGTGCAGTGCAGTGTGGTGTGGTGTGGGCCTGCAGTGCAGAGTGGTGTGGTGTAACTAGAAAATTTCGCGATTTTGGACAAGCATGGTGGAGCATCACCGAGAGAATATACTCGTAGATGAAATAAACTAAAGACATTGAAGTGAACGAGAAATTAAACGTTAAAACAATAGTCAATTTACGATTAGTCTTGATGCTTAATAGAAAACGGAATCGACATACATGACATAAAGAACCGGACGGACTCTACACTTCAAAAGCAAACAAAACAAAACAAACAAACAAACACAAACAATACACAAATAAATAACAACAAACATATGTTGTCACCGAGGGTCACGGTGATAAATGATTACTTCACCTGGCACTAGTAGGAGCAAGGGGTACTCACCCAGGGGACCAGGTCTGGTGTTGTACAGGTGTAGAGCTCGACGACGCACTTACCTGGCGAGGAAATAATAATAATAATAATAATAATAATAATAATAATAATAATAATAATAATAATAATAATAATAATAATAATTTATAAAGTGGCCAACAGAATCCCTGCACACACACACACACGCTAATTAATCACTTACCATAATAACACGAGAGGTATTTCACGATATGATACTATACGTTGTGAGAGAGGCAGGTAAAATTACCAGGTGTGTTAAAGATATAAACACAACCCGGAACTGGTCTATTATTTTTAAGGGCAATGCGGATACAGCATACTGAAACTAGGCTTCTGGTACACGAGGAGGCGTTTTGGCCGTGCACTTGGCAGCCATCATTACCCTAATGGTAAATTTGGGTGCCTTTTACAGATTGGGTCGATTGAGGTGTCCCAAGCGTAAACCATTGGCCCTTACGACAGGAAATGAGCTCTGTATCCACTCAGTCACGGCACTATAGTTAATCTAATCTAAACCAAGTTAACACATCTATCCTCACTAGCCGTAGCCCAAGCCTAACTAACCTAATCTTCTAGCCAAACAGCTAACCTAACAAACTTAACCATAAATCTCTAACAACTAACCTAAACTAATACATCCTTAACCTAACAGATCCTATCCTTAACCTAACCTGAATGCCCGTCTGGCTAATTCACCTACGACTTCAAGCTGGCATGAGTCACATCAATACGACCACCCCCTACCAGCACGACCTCCCCTACCAACACAACTCCCTACCAACACAGCCACCCCCTACCAACGACCTCCCCCTACCAGCACGACCTCCCCTACCAACACGACCTCCCCTACCAACGACCTCCCCCTGCTGACCTCCCCCTACCAACACACCCCTACCAACACGACCTCCCTCCTGCCAGCAGCCACCCCCTACCAACACGACCACCCTCCTACCAACACAACCACCCCCTACTGCTGACCACCCCCCCTACAGCCTAGCCTCCCCCCACCAACTGGCCACCTACCAAAGGCTGCTGTAACTGTCTCTATTCTATAATGTTAACCCATATACAGAAGGTTAGTACTTTAAGTTGTTTGGGATTTCATAACCAGGTTCCTCACACGTGTTAAAATCTGATACCTGGATTTATCTAACGTTAGGTGATGTCGTGTTTACAGGATATATGATGTAAGTATTTGTTTTAGGACGAGCATATTTATGCTCTC